ACTCATCCATCTGTCCATTCTTTCTATAATTCATTCATTCATCCATCCATTCATTCACTCATCCATTCATCCATTCACCTGTTCGGATGATGACGCAACATTGGGCAGGTTGACAAGCTCCGTTAACTTCTGCGACGTTTCCTTCGAGAGCTGGTTCGTGTAGTGCTGTAACTGGTGCCTGGCATTATTATTATTATTATTCAATAATACTATTAATTAATAATATTAATAATAATAATATTATTATTTATTATTATTACTTCATAATTAGCATGAATAATAATAATAGTTAGTCTAGGCTGACCTTTTGTAGAAATTTCTACGAGCGAGATTAAAAATAAAGTTGCCCCATCACTTAATAAGCTTTTCTTTGATAAAAATTTATTTTGAAACAGCAAGTCAATCTCCTAGGAAGGGATTAAGTGCGTTCGAACCCGGTCAGAACAAAACAGGGGCAGACAGGCACCTCTAACCATTCTGCCATCTTGAATAATGGTAAATGAAATAAATAAAAAATTAAATAAATATAACAAACAGTTTATCTCTGAGCTCTGGAGTGTCGCTTGTCGTTCCTATCTGGTTGATCATTCGTTGCAACTGGCTTACTGCATGGGTGAGTTGGCATAATAAAGTACTTAATAAATAATAATAATAAATAATATTCTTATTATCATTTCATTATATTATAATAGCCATTATATTATAATAACCATTTTGGGTGATTTTCTGGATGTTGTTGGCGATCTGTTGAGAGCTCCTATTAAAGTCCCAGCTGCTCGAGCTCGACTTATCGTTAACTGTATTGCGATGAATTAATTAAACTTATTAATTAAAGTAAGTTGTCATAATTATTTGACTAGATTAAATAATGCACATTTATGAATATATATATATATAATTTTTTCAGACTTTTCAGAAGTATCAACTCTCTCTCTCTCTCTCTCCCTCTCTCTCGCCCACACACACACACACAACACACACACACAGAACATATGAACACAAGTAACTCCACACATTACATGTAATAGGCAGGAACCTCCCTGCATTCGATCCCGGTTACTCTAATAGTGATGCCAGGCATCTTAACCATTCCACCACTTGCCACCAATATATATACTTATATATAGAAAGAATGACTTATATATGTATATATATATACATATAGAAAGCAAAAAAAGGTGCTACTAACTACTCCTATATTCCTTCATGCTGAAGATGAACCCAAGTAGGATAGGTGCGTATTCACACAATTTTTTAACAATATTAAATATATTTTTTAAATTTTAATTATTTATATATACATGTTTATTTTATACAAATTTATATTCAAATTATTATCAACTTTTATTTATTTATTTATTTATTGCATTACTAGGCTAGTCACACAACATCAATGAGTCATTGGAATATTATTGTCAAATAATAAATACAATTATTCTGAAATATATATCAACAGGATTTTTTTTTACAATATTTAAATAAAATAACTCATTTATAAGTAATTAAACTAGTAATATAATATACCATATTTGTTTATTTATAAAAAATAATTATTATCGAATAAACTATTATCTATAATTAATCAATAACAAAGTTAATTAAGCGTTAACCATTAATTGATTTGTCTATCTTTATAATTATATTATTTATTTATCTATTTACTATTATTTTGATTATATATATTTCTTTTATTTCTTATATGATGAGATAGAAGAAGACTCATTCAGCCAGATTCAGACAAATAGCACACATTTTGGACAATTGGACATCTATTACATTTAATCATCCCACTCAATAACTAAATTACAATTACTAAATTACAGAATTACAATTATTCAATAATTCGATTTATTCATTTGTTCATTCATTTAAAGACTATTATTATTATAAGTTTTTACTTTTCCTGAATTAAAAATTTCAAATCTGAATTAGCTAAATTATTAATCATCAAAAGATTAAATTATCATTATAAAGAAGACACAATACAATTACTATATATATATATATATATATATATATATATATATATATATATATATATGCATTGAAATAATATTCATACAAAAACCATACATACATACATACATACATACATACATACATACATACAATTCCCATGAGCATATAATAAACAAACACAATACCTAAAGATATACAAAATATACATATTATATATATTAAAATATATTTTTATAAAACCATGGGCTGGATATATGTGCAAACAAATACATACAGCCATAATCATGTGATTTTTTTAAAGATTAGTATTTTTAATTTTTAATTTAATACTTATCAATTTTTCAATATATGTGCCTTATACATGCTGAATAAAAAAATATATAGAATAGATAAATAAGGCATATATAAATAAATCTAAATATAATATCCACCAGAGCCTCCCTGATTAATTTAATTTATTTATAATTATTAATAAATATTATCATATTATTTAAATTAATAGGTAAAAACTTTTAATACTATTTTAATAATTGAATAATTTTAATTTAATTAATAAAACTAAAATAAATTAAATTTTAATTTTAAATTTAATTTTAAAAAAATGGTTAATTAAAAAATAAATGGTTTTTTTAAATTTTAAAACCATTTATTAATTATTTATTATAAAACTAACAATCAACTACCTTTTTAACAAAATAAGATGAAATCTAATAATAAAATATTAATATTATGGAAAAAAATGTATTACTCATTCAAAACCTTACCCCATATGTTTTATTTAATTAATTATTTTATATTTCTCCATCAGCATGCACACAAATCCACAACAAATTGACATTTTATTATCATAATAAGAGCTGGTAAATTGGTTAATTCTGGCTAATGCGTCATAAAGAAAATTATTTTAAAAATTGTTAAGTGATTAATAAATAATTAAATTTTAATAATTTATTAAGTTATAATAAGTTTAATTAATTACGTCTATAGAATTAAAAATTTGAAATGAAATAAGTTGAGGTGTTTAGTTAGCACTAATGGTTGCCAATAACAACAGCTGGCGACAAAATAAAATATGGACAAATTATTTTTAAAAATAAACGTGTTTTTCATATTTATTTAATTCTAAGTTGTATTTTTATTTTTTTTAATTATGAATGGAAACGATTTGTGGCAAGATCGTGATATGAGAATTGATGTCAACCCCCCCGTCGTTTCATAATTAAATTAAACAATTAATTAATATTAAATTTAAAATTGATTATTTATCTATTAGCTACTAATTGAAAAACAGAACAAAACAAAACTAAATAATTACTCAATAAAATCAATGATTATGAAATACTCTTCTAGTACTACAACACATAAAATTGTGTTTAACAATAACAACGCTACTTTGATGAAGTTTTTATGTTATAATTTACAAAGCTATTTCGATAACTAGATAACTACCAAATGAATGTATGTATCTATTTTTTACTTCTAAGCTGAGAAAATTTTATCGAAGATATCTAGATATGTATCTACAATAAGATATTCCTAAATTCTAAATATAAGTATGACAACTCTCCAACTGAAAAATTTATGCTTTATTGATCCCAAGCTTTTTTGACGACCTTGTTTTACTGTTTATCTTAAGCTCAAAAAATTTCACTGATTCCAAATTCTCTTTCTTGGTGATGATTTTGTATGCTTAAATCAAATCTTCTCTTGTTCTTCTTTTTTTAATGTTGTCAATCCACAAACTTTTAATCTGTCTTCACATGGCATACCGCAACACTCCTTTATCATTCTTGATGCTTTCCTCTGAATATTCTCGAGCATATGTTTGTCCACTGAACACAGTACTCCAACTTAGGTCGAACCAATGCTTTATAAAAGTTTAATATGACGATCATATCTCTTCTCTTCAGAGCTCTGTTTGCACTTTTAGCTGCCTCGATGCATTGCCACGCTACCTTATCATTCCATTCAACCCCCAGATCCTTTTCCTCCTCTAAATTTTTTAGTGGTTTGTCTCCAAGTTTGAATACGTCTGCCTTGTTGTTCGCTCCCATATGTATGACTGCACATTTGTGTTTATTTAATTGTTTGAATGATTGTGTTTGTTTGCATTTAATGTTTGTGTTTGATTGTTTGTGTTTGATTATTTGCGTGGTAAGGCAATACCATCTGCCAATCCTCTGCCCATTTGCATATTTCATGCAAATCACATGCTAAAATTTGAATATCTTCATCGTTGTCTACATGCATATATGACAATTGAAGCTGTTGACTTGTTTCACGTTTACCATAAATAATTATGGAGCAGATCGAAGCGGTTTTGCTTTTACTGATAACCATGAACTCTGTTTTGTTGATGTCTTTCCTTTCTCTTTCAAAATCCAGTTTGGAAACAATTATTTGCAGTTTTTCCATTGCTGCATCATCAGTATATCTTACATTGTTGATATTCACGCCCCCAATGGGTATTCCGGGTAGATCTTTCTCATAATGATCTCACTATAGAATATGTTTAGGTCTAGAAAAAAAACACAGTATTCTAACATAATAAGATGAAATATAATATAATATTAATAATAGAAAAAATTGATTTACTCGAAATAATAATTTGAGGTGTTTAGTTAGCACCGTGCACCAATGGTTGCCAATAGCAATAGCTTAAACCAAAATAAAATGTAGACACGTTATTTTTTTTAAATTTAAATAAAAGTATTATTCGTATTAAGTTGTATTTCTATTTTTTCAGTATGAGTGGGGACAATTTATGGCAAGACCGTGAAACGAGATTTGATGTCAACCCATCGTTGGTTTTTTAAATTTAATTAAAATTATTAAATTAAACTTTTCTAATTAAACTCTAACTAATTAAGCCAAGGTTAATTCGTTTTTTAAATACGTAAATTTTAATTTACTATTAAATTAAATAGAAAATTGAATTAGCTCAGCAGCCAATCAGAAAAATCAATTAAGACCTAACATTTAACTAAACTAAGCAATTAATCAATATATATATAATATAAATATAAATTTAATCAACAATTATGAAATACTCTACTCTACGCTAGGAGTACTACTACCCACAAAGTTCTGTGTAACAACACTTCTTTAAAACATTTTTTTAATAACATTACACACAAAAATGAATCTATTTCTAGTTTTTTCTCTTCACTTCTTAACGATAAATTGTTTATTTTATTTTATTCATTAGATAATTTGATAAATTCATTTTTATTCATCAGTTTGCTAAATCTTGTTCGTGGAGAGAAGGTAATACTGGAGCTAAATGCTGTTGAAGATAGCAAAGGAAACACTGGCGTTCTAGGTGAAAAATGAACTTTTTTAAATTTAAAAATTTAGTTATTTCTTAAAAACTCTAATAGAAGTTTGAATAGCGAATTGTAAAATAAAAGTTTTTGGTTAAGTTATTTGAAAGTATTTTATTTATTCACTGCAAGGTTCTGCAATATTGAGCAATTTAAGGTTCATATGGCATTCTCAAAAGTTCCCCAAAGTTAACATTTGTTAGTATAAAATTTTTCTTTTTATACTGACTATATTATTATTATTTCTTTTTTAATTAATTTTTAAAGAAATGTATTAACAACACACTCACGCCCAAACAAAAACACACAAACTCACATAGCATATGCTAATACATGTAAATCTACTCATCTCAGTTTGCATGTGATAGGCTGGGATAACATTTGCATTCAAACCAGGCCACTGCAATTAGTAAATTAGATAACTATAATCTAGAACGTGAAATCTAATTAGAAGATGTTTAAACTCAAAATTTAAACGTTCATATTCAACTTTCTAACATGCAGCTTTAGGACATAACTGTATATTGAGTGTCAACTGTATACATTCTCAATCTGTTAGTTGAGATTATGGAATTTAATTTCTTTAAAATCGATTATTAAATTTAAAGTTTATTATTGGATACCAGTGTGGGATTGTTGAAAAATTCTAATTTGTTAATTATTTCAGAAAATTAAGAGTTCTTCTGATTCAGTGATCATTTCTGCCGAATGTTCCGGCGAAAAATATGAATTTGTCTTCAGTAATTTGGTGAAGTTTTCAATTATTTCTGGATAGTTTTGATACTTTTAAAATTTTATTTGATGATTTTCTTCATTAAACAATGTTCTCCCTTCCAAGATTGTAGATGGCCCTTCACTTTACACGAGTTTAAACTCAGTTCTCAGGTTATCTTTCTTTCAGGTTTTTTTTGTTCATGTGATCATATATATGTTTACATACACGTATTATATGATTTCATGCGTTAAAGTTGTTATTGTTGTATAAATCTGGACGCAAAACAAAGATTGATTGATTGATTGGTTAATATGTTGATTCTGTTTTAAAAGCATGTATGTGTAGTGAGTGAATGTTGTTTACTATGTGTTGTTGAGTGATTGCTCATGTCGTTGTATGTTATGTATCTACGTGGCTAAAAATCAACTGTGTGAGCTTTTCATCAGCTGTAGATCGAATAGACCCGTTGCGGGGAGCAGTTTCTGCTCTAATGAGCTGCTTTAAATTGTTTTACAACTCTTGCGCGATTGAATTGAGACTCCGTGCTTCCAGCGAGCTTCTTTGCTATGTTATAAAATGGCCGCCTCTGACTTTGAAATGCGATGTACATCGTGTGGGCTGAGTTTTTATATACGTTAAGAATAATGTCTGTTCAGGGCCAGCTTTAGGCATAGGCTAACTAGGCAGTCGCCTAAGGCCTCCGATTTTTAGGGGCCTCGCAATGCAGATTAAAACAACTTTTTTAGAAATCCTAATTCGATGAATTAATTTTATACACCTGTTTTATTTTTAACTAATCGCAGTGTAATGCTGCAAGAATTTATCATAAAACAAACGTGTTCAGGTTGAAATTTTTTTTAAATGTGTACAATTTTCTTGTGCACATTTAAAAAAAAATGTCACTTGGGGCCACCAAATTTTTTTTGCCTAGGGCCTCCTACTACCTAAGGCCGGCCCTGGTTTGTTGACATGAAACAAACAAGTCAATAACTACTTTCGTGAAATTGATTTTTTCAAGTGGTTATTGTTTGAAATTATTTGGCCGACAGGAAACTAAACCACTCCGAAAACCTAAAAAATTAATTACAAACCAGCCATCAACTATTACGTATACCATCAATTTCCAATTTCTTTCCTATTCGCGTCTTTGGAAGTTGTGTCCCATAAACATGAACTTGTTAAACCAATTAAATTAGTTGAAGTTTTTAAAACGAATAATAATATATTATCAATTAAATACTTCTTTATTAACAAGGGCATACGTCTCGAGCAAGATGTATAGAGAGGTGAAACTAAGAGGTGAAATATATTGCATGAATTGAGAAATTTATGAACGAATAAATTTATGAATTTGGAGAATGAATGGATGAATGATTAAATGAATGTTCTTTTTTTGTGTGTTCCGTATTATGCAGCTCTGACATACGCAGAACGGCTCGCATATCATCTTTGTATTTAAATCTCCCTGCCACAAAGACTGTACTATCCACATCACACCACACCGAACATTATGTACACAAAACATGCATATACACTTTGCACGTGATTTCTTGTTAACTGCTGACATCCAAACACTCACGCACATAGACACACGCACGCACACACACGTACACGAACACACACACACGCACACACACACACGCACAAGGTTCCCTATTTAAAGACGATGCCCTTAAAACATACCCACACGAGGAAATATTCCGAGAAATCCACGGGGTACTCAATCTCTCCAACGATCAGGTCAAGTGCATTGTTCGATAATAATTATTATAAATAATAATAATAATAATAATAATATGGCTTTTCTACCTTCTTGGCACCGTGTAACAGGGAAACATAGGTGTGATGATAGTGACCAACGTGAGGGTGGTGTGGTACGCTCTGAGCAACCAAATCTACAACGTCAGCATCCCCTACTTGCAAATTGTTAGTTGTTATGCTGTTACATGTTTACCATCGGAAAGATTTGTTGTACCAAACTGCTCTTACATGTTTCCCATTCAGCTGTCATCGAATGTTTCAATTTTTCATAGATAGATGTTAAAGTGAAAGATTCCAAATTTGGCCGTGCCATCGTTTTTGAGATCACGAAACAAGTTAGTGGGTTGTATAATTATTTGGAAGAGATTAATCGGCTAATTGATTGATGAATCATTTGGGATCTTTTTGTTTCTTTGTGTTTGAATGTTTGTGTTTGAATGTTTGTGTTTGAATGTGTGTGTTTGTGTGGCGACGCGCGCCAGGGAGGAGGGTACATACTTGGTTTCCGCATCGATCCGGTCGAGAAGCTGCAGGCAGTTTTCAGGGAAGTGAGGAAACTGTACAAGATGTTCACACACAATCCCAACTATGGCATTGAGTGTAGCGTGGAGGTCGGTGGTTGGCCGGCTTTGGCTGGTTATTTATTCATTCGTTTGTTTCACGATTCGATCAATCAAATTTTTGAAAAATCAATCAAAAATAACTCTTAATTTTAAACATGCAAGTGCCCACTGTTTTTAACAAATCTATTGACAATTAGGTAGATAGAAACGTATAAGTTCAAACTGTTCAACACTTGGAAGTATAAAATTATATTTCATATAAAAACTGATGACCTCAAACAATCATCATAAAATAAACCTCTCAGAACAGCATGGCGGAGTCGAAGCAGAATTCATCAAAGTTCTCAGACGATGCAGAGGTGTATGAGGACCACGGAGAACACTCTGACGTGTTTGCTGTTGGTACCTGTTACACATGTTACATCATCACCATCATAATTGTGTATCATTTTAATTCCCGCGTATATCATTTTGTACATATAATACATGTATGTCATTGTAATTCATGTACGAACGTATCATATGTTGATCAATGCGATAGTGTAATGGTTAAGGTATCTGGCACCGTTACTGCAGTGACCAGGTTTAAATACTAAACAATCCCCACATTTGTGGGATGCATGGATTGACGGGTAGTTGCATGCGCTGTATGTGTGTGTGTGTTTGTGTGTATGAGTGTGTGTGTTGTTGGTACCCTTGAGAATTGCTTAAGAGAGAATTGTTAAAAATAAACTGTATGTCATCGCATGCCAAATTATAGTATGAAGGCAGTGGCGTAGCCTGATATTATTCTACAAAATGTTGATGAATTTTTTGCTCAATCTAACTTTCTTAAAATAATTTTTATTTACAAGTGAAATTTAATATTTTTCATACAAAATTGTATTTGACTATTCTGTGTGTGTTTGACTTAATCTTAATCCTTTCATAAATATTCATTGGGGGAAGGTTTCAACCTCGAACCTACCCGCTTACCTTGCCTTAGGCCTCTAAAAATAAATTATATAAAATAAATTTTAATGTTTTAAATTTTATTATGATAAATTATAATTATAGTTGTAATAAATCATAATAAATTATAATTATAATAATAAATGAATAATTTAAATAATATTCCAGTTGTATTGTGTTGATGGCGGGAGAGCCACGAACAGGGAACCAGTGTACAATGAAGAGCTGGGTCTCCTCATTGAAAAACTGCCAGATGGTCAGTCAATCAATTAATAAGTCAATTAATAAATCAATTAATCAATCAATTAATCAATAAATCAATCAGTCAATTAATAAATCAATTAATCAATCAATCATTCAATTAATAAATTCAATTAATCAATCAATCAATCAGTCATTCAATCAATCAATTAATCAATCAATTAATCAATCAATTAATCAATCAATTAATCAATCAATTAATCAATCAATTAATCAATCAATCAATCAATTCTTTTATCACCAATATAATGATGATATATATAATGATAATTGTAAAATGTTATTAGACTGATAATAATAATGATAATTTATATGACATATGCAGGTTACACCTTATCAGATTTATGGGATGTGATGAAGTGAGTAGGGGAAACAACTCAAAAGATGCCAACGCTATAAATTTGATACAGATTTTTGTGTGGACTTTTTTTTAGTTGCAGAATTTTTAATTCTCGTTAACCAGCTAAAAAGAGTTTAAAGAAACCCATCTGTTATGTTAATTACTACTATATTTTAGTAGTATCATGTATAAGTCTCAATCTAAATTATTTCCTAAGTATTTATCAGATATATTAATTGAACCTAAACGCCCCGGTTTACGATCGTCTTCTTCTTCTCGCTTTTTCTTAACTCGTGTTAAACACTCTTTTGCCAAATCTGCTTTTGCTTTTTCTGGTCCTTTTCTCTGGAACTCTCTACCTACTTCTCTAACTATTTCTCCATCACTTGCGAAGTTCAGAGCGGATCTCAAGACCCATCTGTTTTCAAAATTCATTGAGGAGCGCTGTTGAACATCGCGGAAATAGCGCTTTATAAGCTAATTGATTGATTGATTGATTGATTGATTGATTGATTGATTGATTGATTGATTGATTGATTGATTGATTGATTGATTGATTGATTGATTGATTGATTGATTGATTGATTGATTGATTGATTGATTGATTGATTGATTGATTGATTGATTGATTGATTGATTGATTGATTGATTGATTGATTGATTGATTGATTGATTGATTGATTGATTGATTGATTGATTGATTGATTGATTGATTGATTGATTGATTGATTGATTGATTGATTGATTGATTGATTGATTGATTGATTGATTGATTGATTGATTGATTGATTGATTGAATAAAAAGTTTTCTCGTAATAATTAATAGAGATCTAACTAATTGTTTTATAGTACGATTAACTAACCTAAAACCGTCAAAACGAAATGTGATTGGTTGGTTAGTGACAACATGCTCGTAATTTTCTCTTCATCTCAATAATCATCACATCATCATTACCGTTATCATTTTAATAATTATTGTCATAAGAGTCATCATCACAGTAGTCGCCATAATCATCGTCATCATAATGATCATCTATATATATTTTATATATATATATATATATATCATCAGATTTTGGCTTACGTTCTAATTTGTTCTGAACAGTCAGAGTTTAGCGAATTTTTTTCACATTTCGGTAATCCTTATTTGAAACTTTAAAATTGAAAGTAAAGCAGTCTTATATGAATTTTATAATTAAGGGCAGTGTGGCTACGCCTGCTGAAAATTCTCATTATTCAAGTTTGGTACGTTTTGCGTTGAATTATTACTTCATTCGTCCTGCTTAAACATTATTACGCCTGTTTGCAGGTACAGCCTGTAACGGAGAAAAAGTATTTGCTGGTGTTGGTTAGAAAAACTTCACTGCCAAATAAACATCCAACAAAGAATTGAAAAAGGACTGAGACGAAAAGTGTATGTATGTTGTGGAAGATATTATAATGGCGCGATATAAGAGTGCGGTGTACTGTAGTATGTATGCATTGTTAAACTAGCAAAAGTGATAGATATGAAGTATGAATTCTTTGTTTTGACAGTTAGTCAATTGTTAAATAGTATTATTTATATATGTGTAAATAAATATAAAACTATATATATATATATATATATATGTTTATAATATATTTTATAATTATATATATACCGATGTGTAGTAAAACGAGGACTTACAACAAAATCGTCTCTAAAACCCACACACACACACACACACACACACACACACACACACACAGACACACACACACAACATAATCGATAAACGTTACGGGATATTTTTTGTTGAAAAACGAGGGAAAATTAATGAAATATCATGAAAAACATGTTTATGGTTTTTTTTTTATTTAAAAAGCCTATGAAATAAAAAGTCTGTATTTTTTCATAATTTTTAACGTGTGTCTTAGTTGAGAACTACCTAAGAGGCCAAACCGACAGCTTAGACCGAATTTATTTTGCCACTTTTTAGTCTAATCGTCATCATCGTCACCGTCCACATGATCATTACTATTATAGGTCAAAATTATTTTTGTCATCATCATCATCATTTCTCGACAATCAACATCATTATCACCACTATCATCATCATCTCTTTCATCATCATCGTCATTTCTCGACAACCAGCAACATCATCATCGCCATCATATAGTAAGAGATGAAAGAGATTTCATCATCACCGCCATCATCGTCGTCATCATCATCATCATCTTCTGACATTAAAAAGTTTACAACGCTCGACACGTTTCGAATCGTGTTTAATCGAAGAAAGAATTGACACAAAAAATGCCTACGGGTTTTTTTCTGTTTTTTGTTTACGTTTTTGGTTCAGTCTTTTCGTTATGATCCTATCTTTAGTATTTTAGTATTGCTACTAGTACTGCTATTTCTACTACTAGTACAGTTGCTGCTACTACAGCTGCTGCTACTACATCTGCTGCTGATACTACTACTACTACTATTACTAATTCTCAATTGTAGTAGTAGTAGTGGCAGTAGTAGTAGCAGTAGTAGCAGTAAAACACTAAAGATAAAAAAACTAACCTAAATAGGTGGCCAGACAAAAATTTGTTTTGTATCGATCCCTCCGTCAAACACGATTCAAACATGTATGATACGTATATCTAGTATCATGATATAATTCATATGATATCAGATGATATCAAATGTTCAATGTATCAAATGTGCATGTGTATATGTGTGTGTGTGTGTATTTGTGCGTGTGTGAAGGAGAGAGACAGGGAAAGGGAGAGTGAAACACACACACACACACACACAAAGAGTGACAGAGTGAGATTAAGAGAAACCGTTTTGACGCTATATAAGACACATGGCAAGAGCATCATTTCACACTCACATGCCAACCGAGCATTAGAGTATTATTATAGTCATAATATAATAATAATTATAATATAATTATAATAATTATTATTATATTATAGTTCTGGATCATTAAGTAGCTGTCACAAAAAAGAAATTTGTTTCATTTTGTTTCAAATTTCAATCAGGAAGATGTTGCGTTATGTGTTTGCTCTCAGCGTTATCATCGGCGCAGTTGAAGCAATAGGTAGGCGAGATATTTTCAATTAAATATTATAAATGTTATTATATCATCATTATTTTTTTAAATATAATTATTAATTATAGTCATAATATTTCATATTTTTTTGGTTAGTATGCTTGCCAAAAACCGGAACTAACTCTAGAAAGAGTATGTGGACATTTCTTTCACTAAACAAATTTATATTATATATATATATATATATATATATAATAAAATATAAATATTATAATATTAAAATTTATTAACCATTCAATAATAATAATAACAGTAAGTAATAATAATAATTATTATTAATTAAAATATACTAGACATTTCACATAGTAACAACAAAACATTATTTTTAATAACGCCAAAATATGATCGAAAAACGATTAAAATATATAAAAGAATTTAAAAAAAAAAAATAAGTAAATAATATAAAAAATGTTGAATGAAGTTAAAAAAAACCTACTAGATTGCATTTGGACGCCATACTTCAGAAGCATGAGTTATGGCGGTAGTCACAAACCTTCACTGAATTCATTAGAGCTTTGTAAAGCTGACTGTGAGGTCTCAGACTCGTGTAAGGCCGTAGAATGGACATCGGACAACCAGTGTTTCCATTTCACGACAGCCGACCGGCCTACCAATTTCAACGTAGATGGTGTCACGCATTACGTTTGTCAAAGTTTTAATAGTGAGTAGCCCACTTGCTTTTTGAGGATCATTTCGTTTGACATTTATTAATTATTACGGTTAATTTAATTGATTAATTTATAATTTATTTATTTTGTTTTCTATTTGTTTACTAGTTTTAAATTCTCTGAGGTTGCGAATACGCCGAGCGTTTTATTATTAGTTGAATTTGTTGTAGTTTGGTATGTTAACAACTTTTGAATAACGAATTTTTTTCATTTTTTTGGCTTTTTGTATAACGAATTTTAATCTTTTATTTTAATTTATTTTACTTCTTTATTCTTAAACATTCAGGTCCATGGCCAATGAACCCGATCGACTTCATGCCGGGACCATGGTCAGGGTTTCCGAACAGTTTCACGACAGGAGGTGTTTAACAAAACTGAAAAATTAGCCATTGAAAATTTAAAAATTTCGATAAACCCTGCTGATACAATTTCATATTGATCAATTTTGTGTCATATTTGTCTTTCCTGTCTACTTGCCTCCCTACCTGCCTCCCCACCTACCTACCTACCTACCTACCTACCTACCTACCTACCTACCTACCTACCTCTCTGTTCATCTAACCGTTTTCAGTTACTCATTTCACACACACAGACCAATGGGAAGAATTCAAGAACAAACTGGTATATGGAGGTGAGCTTCATCCGGCAGTGAATGTTGAAGAATGCAAGAGAGTTTGCCTCCAACAACCTGGTTGCAAGTCGTTTGATTGGGACACGGGAAGAGCGCAGTGCTTCACCTTCAAAACTTCCCCACCAAATGAGAATATGGTAGAGGCACCTGGTGTCAATCATTTCGTCTATAGGGCGTCTGGAGGTCATACTAAATTTGTTTTATTTTTTCATTATTAATATTTTTATCTTCTTTGCTTATTGAAGTGTCGTTGTGATTTATAGATTTTAAAGTGAAAATAATGAAACGAGATATCATATTCTTGTAATTTTAAGTATTCCCCAATGATGTATTTTTATATCATTCCAGATGTATTCTCCAATGATATATTTTCATATTATTCCAGATGTATTAATTTTTAGACTACTTTCATTAAATTCTTTTAAAAGCATCGAACCATACACAAACATTTAAACCAAAACCTATCCAAAGTAGGCAAATCATATATTATTTCTACGGATAAATTTAACCTATCTCTTACAATGTCAAAAATTTTTTAAATAAATCTCAAATTTTATAAACGAAAATCAAGCCGCTCATCTATTGTGCCTTAAAATATATTAACTATTAATTAACTGAAATGTCAAGTTTCTTTCAAGTTATTCAAGTTAAAATTTGCTCCACATCGGTGTTATATTATATTGAAGAACGCAACAATAAAGTTGACCAGTTTATTGAAGTGTTTTTACATATATTATTGAAAAGAAATCTAGTTATTTTT